GATGTAAACAAACATTGGAGGCCGGTCCTGCCCGAACTCGGTTAGTTTGCATCTTTCCCGGGGAGGGGATCCATTAGGTCATTTTAAAGGGGCCAAAAAGATAAGTGCACTTTATTTTAAAGTGCACTTATCCTTTCGCTTTATGAAGTTAGTGGGTAGGGGAGGTAAGCACTCTTCTTAGTTATAGTCTATTTAAAAAGTTTAAGGTTTATTCTAGTCCTGTTTAGTATCCCATAGCAGCAGCAAGGTGACAGGCACAGCCATTACTTGGCATCCAAAAAGATTGTTTAAGGTGACATGCTCCCTCACAAACTAACCTGCTTAAAGTGACACTAAACTCAGGAGTTAAATCTTAAAAATGCATTTAAGTACCTTAACAAAAAATCTATCTTATTTGTGTATCACTCGGCTGTAGATCCTCACATCATCTCTGAATTGGTGCTGACACTGTCCTTCCTTCTGGAGGGGGCTACATCGTTCCCCATGGTTCCTGTGTGTGTTGTAAAGTAGTCACCGCTCCAGTGATGGACTACAATCTCAATACAAATTTGTAAACTAAACTTGAGATTGTAGTCCATCATGGGAGTGAGCTTGGACCGGTGACTACTTTACAACACACACAGGGGCCATGGGGAACAAAAGTAGCCCCCCTCCAGAAGGAAGGGCAGTGTCAGCACCAATTCAGAGAAGATTTGAAGATCTAAAGCTGAGAGATACACAAATAATGCATTTATGTTAGTTAGGGTACTTGAATGCATTTTTAAGATTTAACTCCTGAGTTTAGTGTCACTTTAAATCTGTGGCTTAAGGTTAACTCAGTTCCAACCCATAGAATAGCAGATCCCAGACAGAATCCACAATATTTCAGATGTTCTATGGGACTGGCTGAACCCCTAAACTTGGGGACCATTAGTACGCTATTCTCAAATAGTGTTATTAGAGCTCTGGTTCACACCTCCAGAATGACACAATGCTGTATGGTGCCTCTCTAAAGGCCATTGCAGTGCACATATTACATCGAGGGCTCTGGCATACTCTTAAAGGGTTTTAGAGCTTTTTCACTTGATAATAATGCCAGATGTATGGATTTTGTACTTTCTCCCTGAGCTTGCGTGGGTTTCCTCCCACACCCCAAAGACATGCTGGTAGGTTAATTGGCTCCTGTCGGCGTGTGTGTGTACACACAAATGTGAAATTGGGACCTTCGATTGTAATCTCCTTGAGTGTAGGGACTGATGTGCATGAGCACTATGTAAAGTGCTGTGTAAATTGTTGACGCTTTATAAATACCTGTCACAATAAATAAAGAGAAGGATCATAATCAAATCATAAGATTCTAACATGAACCTTACAAAACAGACTAAAGTACTCCTACCTGAAAATACCAGCGACAATAACTTCCCTTTTTCTCGGGTTTAGGCCTCATTCCCACTAAGAGCCGGCCCGTGCAGATCCGTGCGGCATGCACGGCCGTATCGGGCAGCTCCCGGGAAGGACAGGTGCTGCGTGTGATTGAACGCTGCAGCCTGTCCTTCTCTATGGGAGCCCGCGGCTGTACGACACCCTACATTTTCCCGAACTGCACATCCGTGCGGGTGTCCGTGCTCGGACGCAGACAGGAGCCATTCTCCCACGTACTCCCATAGAGAAGGACAGGCTGCTGCGTACAATCACACGCAGCACCTGTCCTTCCTGGGAGCGCCCCGATACGGCCATGCACGCCGCACGGATCTGTACCGGCCGGCTCTTAGTAGTGTGAATGAGGCATTGCAGTGTTTTATAAGATACAAAACAAAAGCTGCATTTTTAGGCAATATCTTTATCTGACCTCGCTGCCATTTATTACAAACTCTTTGAAAACTAAAATGTTGCCTTTCCTTTGGGAGTTTCTTTCTGCAAGTTTTGGGGTGGAGTATTGACATGATGCAGCCTAGTAGTGTGTGATTATTGTATTGGGCAGAACACAAAGCCGCGCTCTGTACACACCATACACACGGCCCATGCTGACGGCAGATATAAACAGATCTGCTTGAACATATTCACTTGTAGATAAATATGGAAGTGTAATGTCATCAGTGAAAGCTGCAGGAGGGGGCGTACGTGCTAAAAGATTAAAGTCATGGAAGGATGGAAAATTCCTATAAAAACAGAGAAGACCCAGATACTAAATAGAATGAAAGGAAGCATAAAATAAAGAGAACTGTGAGCAGCAAACTTCCTTTTTCTTGTCATTTCAATGTGTTTCGTCATTGTATCATTATCACAGAGAGCAAAATATGTAATAAATAGATTTCAACTGTTTACAGTTAATGAAAAACTCTAGACCATGTGCAGGCAACCTTGGAGCTCCAACTGTGGCCAAACTACAAATCCAATCATGCCTCTGCCTTTGGGAGTTATGTCTATTTTCCTGAATGTCTCTTTGTCCCAAATTAGAGAAAAAGATTTCCCGTCACTTCCTTTCCTTGTGACCCCCCTGCCTCTGGTATAGGGAGTGAGCGGATACCTCCCCAATTATGACACAGCAATAAAAACCTGATCTAGGTTGTAACCTCACCCTCCAACTAGAAAATAAAGGATTTTGGTTGAAGCCACATTTGGAACAAAGTCAAGTGCTTTGTGGCCCAGTCTAGGGGCAAGCTTGGCTGTGGGCGGTGCATCCTGGCCAATTCCTTAAAGAAAAAGAAAATACCCTTTAAAAACAGGGATGGAAAGGGTATAAATGAATATTTATTAGGGATGCAACGATACTGTTTTTTCCGTATCAAATACGAGTACTAATACTTTGTTTTCGGTACTCTCAGATACTGATGCTTCCGCTGGCATGGAGCCGGCTTCCCGGGCAATCAGGAAGCCGGGCGGTGGGCAATGACATATCGTCTGACTTCCTGTTTGTCCGGGGATCCGGCTCTATGTTGTTTGGCCCGGCTTGTTTGTGATTGGCTGGGAAACCGGCTACTCTGGCAATCAGCATAGAGGTGGCTTCTCGATCGGCCGGCCAATCAGGAAGCCGGGCCATTACTCGCTGCTCAGCTTCCTGATCGCACGGGAAGCTGCCTCCATGTTCCCCTACGGCACTACGGGTCAAAGGAATTCTTCCTCTGACCTGAAGTTCTGGTATCGGGGAAGGTATCGGAGCATTTAGGCGAGTACGAGGGTGTGAGCCACCGATACCAATACTAGTACCAGTATCGGTGCACCCTTAATACATAATGGAGATGGATATAAAAAAGTATTTCTCCTGATACAAGCTTTTATCTCTGAACTGGCTTTAGTCACACGTGGACTCGTTTGCTTTTCCTCGATATTACAACAAAGTGTTGTTATCAAAGTTTTCATCAAGGTTACAATTACCGGGATCCCGTATATAAATCTTTTAAACTATTTCTTTGCAATATAGAGAATAGATTATTGTGGATGTATGTCCTAATACACCTATATAAATGTGATGCTATTTTTCATTATGAATGTGTTGGCTCTTTGCCTGAGGTATCTCTGCTATTAACTGGGCTTTGTTGCTATATTATGGTGTTGGGAGTTTTATAAGCCTTAGACAAGGAGTGGCAGGCAAATATTTACTCATGATTAAATAACGTTATTTTCAACTGTTTTGGCTCAATGAGCTTGCCATATGCCCTCTATATTTGGATAGTTTATGACGATAGAAAAATATGCTTTTCATATAAAAAGCATAGGATGGTAAAACAATGCAGGAAGCCAAGCGTGCCGAGAGAAAGAATGTTCACCCTGAAGTGTGAAATACTGGATTTACAGATTTTAACAGCAAGCAAAATAAAATAAAGGTGGGAGATGGGTTATGAGCATTCACTTTGGTGCAACTGGATTAGTACATACAAAAGGTAAGGTAAAACAGAATGTATGCAACATGACGGTAATGGGACAATTTGCTACAGTTCTCACTGTTTGTTTTTTTTTTTTTTAAAGAGTACCTGTCATCCCCACATAAACCATAGAGCAATGCTGTGAGATGGACCAGCATCATGCACATGGTGCTTCAAGCCACCAGTTCCTAATGAAGGTGATGAACCAAAGCATAACTGCGTCCATCTTCTATGGGGGACAGGTAAACATTAATGCAATCAAAGATAAAAAACACAATAAAACCACAGAAGAAACACAAACAATGGGAATTAATTTTAAAAAGCTGCAAAGACCATGTCAAAGGACACGGATTTGAGAAAGCTGCAGTTTGTTAACATTACCCGTCTACTGCACCAATATGGGATATGAAAGCTGCAATATAATAATTAAAGATCTGATCTGGCTATATACCGTATAAACAAATTATACTGGACCCTATTCATAAAAGTGTCTGAGGAAGACTAGTTCTTGTTGCATGTAATAGCCGATCAAATTCCCCAGGCTACCATGGGGAGCAAAGGGACACAATCTGATTGAATGCTAAAGGTTAGAAGATTGTCTTTTATGCAAAAGGACCACGATGACATGTCAGGTGCTACAAGATTTTAATACCAATGTGCAACTTCCCTTCTTAAAATATCACAAATGACCAAAGTACAAGACTGTTGCACTCCATTACCAGATCCTGGGAGCTGCTTTCATTTCCTACCACCTCTTTGCAGACGTTGTTTATTAAATCCCCTGTTTGAAGGCAAATCTGTCATCAATGAAATCACCCGTTTCAGAAACCTGTAACAGAAGCGGTCATTATCTGACTCACAGGCCCCACACTACATCCAGGCCAGAGAAGTCCAACTGATTGAGCTTCACTGAAAGCCCCTGGGATGCCACCTAAGAGGAGAATGGCTGCTTTCGTCAGAGGTTTCACACTCGGGTATTTTGCACTGTGACAGTTTTTAGTAACAGAGCAGAAGGCGATGATGCCCAACGCCACGCAACCATTCAGAAAGTGTAAACGGATTTGAGAGTGGTTGCTGGGGATTTCAGTACATCATTGCAATGCTTCTACATCAGCTTTCAGAGCTTAATAGACTTCATATCTACAGAATAATACTCACATGGATAGGGAATTTTAAACCAAGGGGCTACATCCAGAACGCCTTTCCTGGCATCGGTACGGGCATAAAACCCATATTTAGTATTATCTGGTGGAAAAACATCCGTCACAGTAAAGATAAAACACAGCAACCAGGACACGAGGATTGCCATAATAATCTGAAAAAACAAAACACAAAAATAGAATTCAGTACATAAACTGCACTAGTTTCTCCTTTTATTTTCCGTTAGCAGCAATAAGAACCACCCCACCCCTAGCTTCTTAGATCTTCCGGACACAACAAAGTTCACAGTTCTAGGTGGAAATTGGTTCTCAGATCCTAAGGTGTCACACTGTCGCAGATTAAGGCTGCAATCGATTAATAGACAATAAAAATAGTTGTCAACTATTCTCATTGATTAGTTGGTTGGATCCCCTAGCTCTCTCCTCCACGCTGGGAGGAGGGCACAGCAAGCAGTGGGCGGGTGCAATAACCAGGGATAGCCCCACTGCAAGGGTTAATACATTTTTTTATCTGGAGTTCTTCTTTAAAATTCTGCAGCATTCATTAACATAAAAGCCGCTGATAATGCCATGAATGTCTTTGTTCAGCACTTCATGTTAAGGGGTGACAAATGTGCTCCTGCGTTGTTACCCTTTCAAATGCTCCGTGCCAACACACACTGCACATGCCTGGTCCACTGAAGTAACTATCAGGATGTCAGATGAGAACAATTATGTGTAGTCATTTATGGAGCACATACATATACACCGGATTTGGCTGAAATAAGCTGAAGGATATTATTAGCACCCAGATACAACAAATGATGAAAAATGTGATAACAGAATTTCAGAAAAAAACTACCTGCAGCTTTTTTATTTAAAATAATACTCGGTGATCCGGTCATAAAGGTCTCTGTTCAGTCATTTCATGTTAGGAGCTGAACTTACCGGGAACATTTTAAAGAGCTGAAACTTGTATGCTGTCCATCCTTTCTTGGACTTGTAGACGGGAAGTGGCAGCTTGACATTCCTGGCGTACTGGGAGAAAAGCAGGACCAGAAAGATGGTGCTATTGGAAGAGAAACAAAAAGGCATAAGTGTCCCTCAACTTGTCTGTAATACAGGTGGATGAAAAGTGTTATATAGAGTAAAGCCGGCCATACACTGCTTAGATTTTAGAAACTTTCTTATGACTTTCAGTTGATGGGGTGAAATGGATGATTGATTTTGACAATAGTGACGAAAAAACTTGAAGGATAGAAACTTTTTCTCAAACTACCGTATTTTGCGGTCCATAAGACGCACCGGACCATAGGACGCAGGGAGGACCGGCGCGCCTTATGGAGCACTCGACAGACTGTAGCTTCTGTCACAGCTTCTATGACAGAAGCTGTGACAGAAGCTGCAGTTAGTGACCGCTGAGACAGGTGGCGCTGTGATCACAGCACCACGGTCTCAGTGATCACACAGAGCAGAAGAAGAACGTCCGTTCTTCGTCTGCTCTATGGTGATCTCGATCGTCGCCGCTGCTCGGTTTTAACGCGAGTGATCTCATTAGATCACTTGTATTGAATGAGCAGTGGCTCCTACTGCTGAACTTGATCGCCGCTGCTCGGCTTTAATACGAGTGATCTCATTAGATCACTCGTATTAAACGAGCAGTGGCTCCTACTACTCGCCCAGGGCCCGAAACTGCACGTCTCGGGCGTCCGGATTCGTTCCATAAGACGCAGGCACATTTTCCCCCTCCTTTTGGGGGGAAAAAAGTGCGTCTTATGGAGCGAAAAATACGGTAAATAAAATCTAACATTGAATGTGATTTTCATTAGGGAAACTATTCATTCCAAAATCAAAATTTTGTTCGACATTTACCAAGTGCCTGATGACATAATGGACTAGAGCAGTGGTTCTCAACCTGTGTAACCTCAGGACCCACATTTGTCCTTGCTCATTATGTCATGACCCAAGTCGCACTACAATGGAACGCACGGCATTGCGGTAGCGCTCATTCCAGTGCAGGGAATTGAACTGTGGGTGGGGGGTGCGTTTGGGGTGCCATTCAAATGAATGGCAACGCAATCCACCTCCCACACCAGAACGCGTAGAAGGTGCAATTGCATGGTACTGGGCGATAATCGCACGGAACTGTTTGATTAACACACTGTACTAGTGTGAATGGGCCCTCAAAAACACAACCAGACACACACAACCACAGAAGCAATCTCACATGCTCAGACATTCTCACACACACACATACACACTCTAAGAACTGGAGTGGATCGTCAGCCTGGGGTCCAGTGTGGGCTGCTATGCTGTGACAGAGCTCCATTTATATGTGCATTGCTTGTACAACTCCCTTGCATTCCCTGTAGAGGTCCAGGGAGCCACAATGTGATGTCATTCCGATCCAGGCACCTCTACAGGACATGTAGTTGTACAAGCAATGCACATATAGATGGGGCTCCCTCACGGTCAAAGCCCCAGCCCACCCCACCTCAAGCCAACACTCGCCGCTGGGCAGCAGATTTTAAATGGCTGCTTGGTGCGAGAACTGACAGTGCAGCGCTAGGGGGAGGCTGAGGAGCCTCATCTAGACAAGTGGAAGGCACGTGCGACCCACTGAACATGCAGTCGTGACCCACTTTTGGGTCGCGACCCACCAGTTGAGAACCAAGGTACTAGAGTATGGCCAGCTTAAGCCTGATTGGCTGAAACCCTTGGCCCCGTCTGAGCTCTGCAGAACAGTGGATTTCAGGAGGCCGATGTCAAATGCAGAATCAAAAACTCATGTTGTAGGTACAAATAAAAAAATTAATGTAATGATAATTAAAGTGAGTGTTGTTACATATTTGTCTAGAGTCCTGCTGCAATGAATCCGGTATTATTTGCACAGTGTTGCATGGTATTCCTCTGAACTTCACAGACAAATGACATTTCTGTGGGATTAGGCAGCAGTTCAAATTGTCACAATGTCATTTTTTTTTAAGGAAACATTTGAGGTAAATACACAAAATTAAAAAGCGTTTATCCAAAAAGCATACAGATCAGGATTAGCAGAGTCATTTCACTTCATGGGGAAGGAGAGTGTTATCCGTATATTTATCATACGCTGGAGCTTCCAAGAAGCTTATCTAATCTGCAGCTTAGTGGCATCATTTTGGTTTGTTTTTGGAGTTAAAATCAGGGATAGATGACGGTACACAGAAGTGATGGGGCATGGGTCAGCAGGACACTAATGCAATTTAGAGGGGAACCTCAGACAAAAATAAAACCCTTACTTCAAGTCTGGCTAAAGTTGCTTCCCCCCACAGGGATTTCCCCCCTCTGCTCCTTCAGTTCTAGCTGGAGATACAAACTAGGGCGTGCTTAGCTCTGGCTGTCAAATACTTGTCCTTGCCTTGCTGCAATCCTTACCGAAAGTCCCTTATAATGGGGGGGGTGCTCGCAGTGACTGCGGATGGCGGAGCAAATATCAGCAAAAAGTAGAAATGTCACCAGCACACCAGAATCCTTTTAGGATAGCAGAATGTTCATTTATTTGAAGTTCCTTGTCATATAAACAAGCGCTTTCGGGGCTGCACAGGATCCCTTCATCAGGCTCAGCACTGACAATATATAATGTTCACACCAAACTATAAATAGACAAACAGATGCATAAACCACCAATCAGCACACCCTCTGACGTCATAGTGACATCATAATCCCGCCAAAACACTTAGTAAACAAAAATATAAATAATGACAAACACATCCAGTAATATAGTTGGTGTGAACATTGCATATCGTCAATGCTGAGCCTGATGAAGGGACCCTGTGCGGCCCCGAAAACACTTGTTTATATGACAAGGAACTTCAAAATAAATGAACATTCTGATATCCTAAAAGGATTCTGGTGTGCTGGTGACAGTTCTACCTTTTGGCTCTGGCTGTCAGACGCATTTAGAGAGGCAGAGCCAGCTGTCAGTTAGGCAGCGGAAGTGAATCCCAACAGTATTGTTGAGATCCTTCTCAATTGCAGGGCAAATGTCCATTGTCAGCTGATAGGGGGCATAAAACCACCATCTTTTGGCAATTAGCAATTGTACTAATGTACAAGAGAAGTATAGCCAAATGAGGGAAGAGACATGACAGCTTCAGATACCAATTACATTCATCTCATTACCCAGTTCAATGACAAATATTGTTAAACTCCCGGGGAAAAAAAAGTATTAACCCTTGCAGTGGGGCTATCTCCGCACTGCAAGGGTTAACTGCTCGTTTTGGTCTAGGGACAAAAATAAAAAAAAGTGATACCCACCTGATCGTCTGAGCCGGCTTGTTGTTAGACATTCAGCGTTTCTCCCCCTCTGCTGCAGCAATCTAAGGTCCCTGAGTCATCATATTCTATACACAGTGTATAGGACACGGAGGTACATACCGTGGCTGCGTAGGAGGCGAGAGGCAGCCAGCTCCGAGAATCAGGTGAGAAGAGAATTTCTATTTTAATCCCTAAGCGAAAACAAGCCCTTAACTCTTGCAGAGTGGGGGGAGGGGGGTTAGTAGCCCCACTGCAAGGGTTCAAAACTTTTTTTTTACTGGAGTTATTTAAGGCAGAAGACATGAATACTTACAGCATTGCGATACCCCAGTGTTTGCCAGCTCTTTCCCCAGCAGCCTGGAACCCGGATAGACCGATAAGAGACACTGTGGGCGTGATCGTCAGCGGTCCAATATATCTCAGCAGAGCTCCAGGTAGGCCGAGAAATCCAATGACCACTTCAATGAGTGAGGACATGATGATGGCTCCTTGGATCTGTGTTGGATTACAGAATGATTAAGCTACCAAAATGCTGGATTCCTTTAGGTATTTCGAGCGTGGTCCAGTTCACACATTTGAGGTTTTGGGGAAATTAGGAAAAGTTAATTAAAAAAAACACAGTGCACTTATTCTTATTTGTCCCCCGCCCCTGAGCTAAACGATCCCACCCTTCCTCTTTGCTGAATTGTACTCACCAAGATCCAATGGGCACGGTTCCTCTATTGTTTACATCCAGCGCTGCAATGTTATGTTGCTGGCTGCTACACTTCAATGCAGCCAGCAACATAACAGGGGGGGTGGATGCACCTAGGAGAGGGAGACTTGCAGCGCTGGATGTCAGCAAACAGTGGACCAGCAGCTTTCAGTAAGTATAGATCCGCAGAAAGCAGGGGGTGGGATCGTTTATATGACAGAGAATAAATGCACTTTGCCTAAATGTGCACTTATTCTTTCAATTCATATAGAACACCACACAAAAGAGGAGACCATTCTGTGCCATTGTAGTCCATAGACCAGGTGCTCAACACGTGGCCCATGGCGTCTTTGGCTGTACTGGCTGCCTGAAGCACTGGCAGAGTCTCTGACATGCTGTGTGTGCTCGGAGTAACAAACCGCAGGTTGAGGTTTGTTTACCTCTTCAAGGAGATCCAGACTTCTTCTGCTGCCTGGCTATCTCTTCTTACTATGCACAGTACCCCCTGGCGTTGGCCTTTACAAACTGCTCATTGACAGAAGCGGCTCAGTGCCTGTGTGTAGCCAGCCGAGGTGGCAGCTTCCTCTATGATTTCATCCTGAACCTTGCCTCACCATTGTGCAAGCATCATCACAAACTATTGTTAGTAGTGCCCACACTGCACCTGTCACTTCTTCATTCTACCCACTGATGAGGATGTTATGTGAGCAGTGTGGATCACATCTGAGGAAGCAACCGAGATACTAAGTATCTAGCTGGTAGAAAGTTGGAAAAAAACTTTTTTAACACACTAAACCACAACGCAGAGTGCTCCCATCTGAGTGTTGGGGTGCCAATCAAAAATGAATGGCACTGCAACACAGCATATTTGTAAACCTGGCCTGAACTACTTTTTGCACCAGCGATTTTCAGTCCACACATCAAAATGCACATTTTACAATGCATTGCTACATGTAACATAACTAAGTGCAGTGCGATTCATTTTGAATTACACAGCGCACTGCAACACACCTACATCTTTGTGTGCACAATAGTGTACAGATGTGAACCGTTTGCGTGCTGTGGTGTGTGCTTTGAAAAAATGGTGCAGATCCTTTTTTAAAGAACTGAGGTGCTATCTATCTTTAGGTACAGATGCCATTGTGCGGTCCTTTGGTCTATAGTTATACATAAGATAGGAGTGCAGAAACATTTATTAGAATGCATAAGCTATCCCTGGTACATGCATATAAAAATACTGATAAAAGTCATGCCTGAAATCAGGTCAACCACACATGGAAAAAAAAAACCAAGCATTGTGAACCATGAGGATGTGAACCAGACCAAACTCTGCACAAAGATGGATAAAAAATGACATGGGTGTGACTGAGAAACTTACATGGACAAGACTCTACATGATACTCCTTGGCTCAGAAAACTGGTTATATTCAGGGCAAATTATATCAAAATTTAATTCAGCTATCTCAATGTAAATTAGTTGAAAGTCTAATTAAAACAAACAATTTGCAATTAAAAAGAATGAGGAAACGGGTGACTAGGATCCAACAAGCAGCGTACGCACTGCAACCCACCTGAAGGCACAAGAATTTTCTAACTGTTTTCTATGGGCACTTGCGGTGAATGGTTTTGATCTGGTGCAGAAAACCGCCAGTCACAGCACACAGTGTGAACATACCCTAAAGCCAGCCTTTAGAAACATGCAGTGATGTCACCGCTATTCAAAAATTAAACGGCTACATAGCAAAATTAAGAAAAAAGTTTTCTGGTTCATAATCGGTAAACCATTAAAGTGGTTAAAAAAACAAATGATCAATGGGGACTGGCCCCTTTAACGTGAACAGTCTGATGCCATACCATTTTGGTACCATACTTAACACTTTGGTCCTTTACTTCTTAATCGTATTATTTGTTTTCAAATATTTTTACAGGAGGAGTATAGGATGAGTGAAATACCCTCATCCCAATAGTTAGAGCCAATGTGTGACACTGCAGCTGTCACACGTCAGCTCTACAGATCGTGAAAAATGTGATTAGCGGTATGCGATCGCACAGTTGTCGATCTTCTCCCTGTAGAGAGTGGTGACCCAGTCATCACCCTCCGCAGGGATTTCCCTCCTCCCCTCTCAGTTCCTCCAGCATTGACTGGAGGGACAAACAGCGAAGGGGGCGGGCACAGCTGGCTCTGGATCTAGAGAGGCAGAGCCCGCTGTCAATCAGGTAGTGGGGTAGATTCCGACAATATTGTTAGGATCTTTCCCGGCTGCGGCGCGTCTCTGCGCAGTCAGCATATAGTGGGAAATAACCCGCTATATGCAAAGTTTTGGGTCACAGGGGGACATAGTAAATGTTCTCCTGGGAGCAAAAAAAGAACTATGGCAAAAAAAGGTTTGGCCATAGTTCTCTTTTCAGCAAACCACTAAACCTTCTACTAGATCTTAATGTCCATGACTCTAATTGGAAGGCGTTGCCATGTCAAGTCATATACTGTACCTCCCGTATCCTCGGGTACCATATGTGTTCTGTGTGAAGTAGTTCTGTTCCGTTCAAAATCGTTATATCTGCAACAGAAGCCAAGCAATGGTTAGCCCTTTCCTAATCATGAATGACCTTCAATCTCCTGACTGGATAATACAATTCTTAAATGGCCTAGTCTGAGAATCTCTCTTCCATCTATGAAATGCTCTATTGACACATGCGAAAGTAATCGCCAAAAGAAATGAGACAAGTCGCTTATTTACTGAAAGGCCCATCAGGTGGAATGGATTTTAGAGAGATACTTTATAAAAATCTCAACAGGAACAAAGAGCAAGAGAGGAGGCCTCACTAGTCCAATTGGCGGAATTGGGCCCAATGATCCTGGACCAAGCTAAATTACTTAAAAGTGTATGTCAAGGCATTCTAGTTTTAGAGTGTCAGGTTTTAACTGCTCTCTGGTGCTCCATTAGTAAGATTTACCTTTACTTCCTGTTATGCTGATAACATTTTATCAGACAGGAAATGAAAGGGAAGTTTCCAACAGTAACAAAAACTGATTTATTTTGTTCTTTTTGTGGAGTAGGGAAAAGCTAGAACTTTTATCAGATTGTTATCTCTGTAGGTGTCCCCGTTTCAGATTCTACCTCACTTCCTGTTTGGTGAAACTGTTGTCGATAGGACATGAAATGAGGCTACATTTCTGTAACTGAGCTCTGGATAGCAGTAAAATCCCGGCAGGAGTCTTAATCCTTTCCCCTTCTATCCAAAACTAGAAAAAAAAAACTTTGACATACACTTTGGGGGAAATACAGCATTATGGCTACTAGATGAAGCTGAGGATCAAAGCTGAGGATATTTATTTACTATGCTCAACTCCATTTAGTGACCATAATGCTGTATTTTCCTGATATTACATTGGACCTGAAGAAGAAGATATACTAATAACATTCCTTTTTGCCTCTATTCGCACAAAATGAACGGACACATGTGATTTCGCATGACAAATGATTCTGCAAATTGTTTATAAATACACCCCTAAAACTGCAGTGAAGTTTACAGTAAGGCCCCTTTCACACGGGCTGTCCGTTCAGATCCGTCTGTCCCTTTTTTAAGCGGACCTGATCGGATGCCCAATGCTAGTCTATGGGCAGCCATGTGTAAACAGATGGGTGTCCATATATACGTCTGGTTACCCCCGACTGTGGCCAGGTCCAGAAAAGCAAATGGATCAGAAACTCATTTTGCTGGACCTCATCATGCAGAATCCGGGATAATCCGGCGTGTCTGTTTACATCCGATTCCCTATAGAGCGACATGGGGTCCGGCAGTTTTACTTCATTCCTCCATCGCAAGATGGAAGAAAAAAAACTGGACAAACATGGATGTGACAGTGATGACCTCCAAGACGTACTGCTCCAATCAGGAGGAGATCTGTGCACGGATCCCCTCCTCATCAGCCCGTGAGAAAGGGGCCTAAAGTGGAGGAACTGCTTTGTTGTCCTTCTTTTCGCCTTAAATTCAACTTAAAGATAAAAAAAGCAAAGAACAGTACAGAAAAGTGAATGCATATGACATTTCTGTACTGGTCCAACTTACATTATGATTCAGATAGGTCGGTCCAGCTAAGAGTGCATTATATCAATATATAGCTGCTGGTGGTGACAATTTTACAGCCCACAATAAGCATGTGGGGAATGCAGGAAATAAACTATATACATTTACTGCTTCTATATTTAGCTCCGGATCGTGAGCAATGCGTAAGACACATCCAGCTACGTGAGGAGCCAACAACAAAATGAAAACTGAACTACTGGAAATTCCCACTGAAATCATTCCCAGGGTTGGAAGTCCTGACCTCTGACCAATTTCCATGAACACATTATTTCCCCATTTCCATCCACAGGCCATTCTGAGAGACTATGGAATGTAATAAGAGATAAGAGCCCCACTGATTCGTTCATGGAAACCTACACCCGCATTAATCCAAAACAATACGAGGACTTTGACTTTTAGCAAGCACGGTTCATGTTCTAGATCGGACTATAGAAAGCTGAAATCTGTTTTCCTAAAAAAGATTCTGCAAGAACGTGCCAAGTGAACCCAAGTACTGGGACAAACACCCAGGTCATATGTACTGACAAAGCCACAGTTCACCTGGCCATACACATCTCGAATCACAGACAAGTTCTGCTGACTCGCCCACAATTTCAGCATTTTGTGGCCCCCTCTGGACGACACGACTACGTTCAGCATAGATGGGGGAATTGAATGGTTTTTCACATTCAGCACTGGCTCGACTAGTGTACGATGAGCTTTCCATTCAATTAATGGACATTATGTATTAGTCTTACCACAAACAACTATTAGAATGTCAGCACGTTAAAAAAATGCTTCTATGGAAAAGAGCCCCTATAATAAACTCCTCATTAACCTGAGCAACTTATACTCAGCATAGGATGAAACAATGCAGAGAAAGCCACATGTTATAATTACCAGTACACATAAACACACGGACAGCTGAAGATGAATGCAAATCTCTGGTTGTCCTATAAAAAAAGTCAAACTTGGCTTCATCTCCCCCCACAAGCCTTTTTATTTGATGAGTGGACTCCATGACCATTTATGAGGCTGCAGAGGTAGATGAGGCAGAGCCAGGCTCTACATTTATAGTAAAAGTTTAAGTCTCACTAAACTCAGGAGTTAAATCTTAAAAATGCATTCAAGTACCTTAACTATTAACATAAATGTATCTTATTTGTGTATCACTCGGCTGTAGATCCTCAAATAATTTCCCGTGATGGACTACAATCTCAATACAAATTAGTGAACTAAACATGAGATTGTAGTCCATCACAGGAGCAAGCTTGGAGCAGTGATTACTTTACAACACACACAGGGACCATGGGGAACAAATGTATCCCCCCTCCAGAAGGAAGGACAGTGTCAGCACCAATTCAGAGATGATTGGAGGATCTACAGCCGAGTGATACACAAATAAGATACATTTTTGTTAATGGTTAAGGTACTTGAATGTATTTTTAAGATTTAACTCCTGAGTTTACTGTCACCTTAACATATGCATATAACTTCATCCCCCTATATTGCTGGATCTAGTAATTATGTGACATGCAGAGGTTATTAGCAGAAACTAGTCTCTAGTTATGCATTTAATTCATACCCTTTGGATCAATTGGTTGGCTTTGTGGCATCTGCACTTTACAGCGGAGATCAGGTAACTGACTGATGACATAGCTGAACACTTACCCGTGCGGTGCAGGGGTAGCCCCACTGCGAGGGTTGTGTTTTGTATGCTCTGGAGATGGGCTTGAAGTCTTTCTCCACTATAACAATAGTGATGGATAAAAAGTGTGCACATAGGCAGTTCTCTAGGCATAGTTACCCTGCTGCACATAGCTAATTCAACACTCAACCTATTTTATGGGTCACAGTATTGCATGTTGATGTACACCTCACACAATAAATCTCTTACTGGCTGAGTCATTAAAAGAGAACTATGGGGTAACCTTTTTTTCCCCCCTTAGTCCTCTTTAAGGTCACCGGAGGATATATACTAACCTCCTCCCGTGACCCAAAACGCAGTATATAGCGGGCAATTGCCCGCTATATGTTGAGAAAGCCACAGCCAGGACGGATCCTGACAATACTGTCGAGATCCACCCAGCTGGCTGATTGACAACTGGCTCTGCCTCTCTACAGCCAATCAGCGGTGCCCGCCCCCTCCCTGTCCGTCCCTCCAGTCAGCGCTGGAGAGTCGGAGAGGGGAATGAATCCGGCGTAAATAGGGCCTTAGGCAATATATTTGCAGCACTGCAATCAGTGGCAGCTAAATAGCCCAATCTAGGGATATGACTTCTCCCTCATAGACAAGGAAGTCCCTCTACTAGTCTGACCCATTCAGAGGGCACAGGTCTGCACATTGCTTGCACATGAAAACGAATTAAACTTGTGCTCACCAGCCATCAATTCTCTTCCAAACATGATTTGCTGTTAAAAAAACTTAATCAGGATAACTAGGCGATTGTATGGTTGAGAACGCACCAGCGCTTGTCACAAGGGATAAATAAGGAATACAAAAAAAAACCCAAACACCTCTGAACATGGGATACACAGGTATTAGAACAAGGTCATGCATCCACAGCTGACCATTTTGGTCCATGAAGCCACCACTCCTTTTGTAAACAATTGTACTTTTCCAAGCTCGAATCTTGAGAACCTGACCTCCCGTTCCTGCACTTTTATTTCCCTGACACTGCGGTTTACAGCACAAATTCCTTTCCCCATCTGAATAAACCCTGCGGCTCCAGTGTGAGAGATTATATACATTCTTTATTCACAAAGGTGCCCCCACTCAACGGGAAAAATGGATTAACTGGCTGGCAGCAAGGAAAATAATCCCAAGAGTATCATACGCCAGTACTTTTCCAGCTGGGTGCCAGTCTGCAAACATACACAGCATGGTAGGAAGGACTTCGGTGTCAATGCTCAAATCGCAGCCAAACGTACCTGTAGCATTACATTTCCACTTCTCAAGGGATAAGATGGCACGAGCTGGGGCAAGGAAAGCAAAAGCACTTGCCTGGAACAAGGGTAACCTGGAGCAATGGCAGAACAAAGAAAGACAAATGAAGTTCAATTATGTTACTTAACATCACAATGGCAGTAATTCATTCTTACAAGTCAACAGGGGGAAGTGACAAGTGATCGTTTTTTTAGGATTTCTTCACTTCCTCTAAGGTTCCCAAACAACACTATAGGTATATAAATCTCAAATGACTTTTAGGCTTAAAAAACACCCTGGCACAGCCCCAACTCTGCAATGCTTGCCTTGTAATACATTAGTAGAGCTTAAATCCATATCCAATCACACTCCTAACCGGAAGAAATCCAAACTGACTGGAATAGCCACACATTGCGAGACCTTCTAAGATGTCAATAAAGGAAGGTTGACATTCTTGAACCTTGGAGCTTTTGGCCACCGGGGAGAATGGCGGTTGGGAGGTGTAGGAGCCTGCTTTGAACTTCTTACATTTAAGGGCTTTTAATAACTTTGCTTTATGAACACATTTACATCTATGTTGTTCCAACAGTTCCTATATTTCTGCAGTCCTACCTCAACACACAACCTTGCATTGCGGCAACCAGAAATTACCATGGGTATATAGCAGATAAGGTTGGATAAGAGACGAAGGTCCATTCAGTCTAACCTCTGTATGTGTGTGCAAGAATGATCTATTCTAAGTACACATATCCCTGTATGTTCCTGTAAGGAAGGCCTTGAATGAGACCAAGATTCTTCAATCTGTCAATGCTTCCAGCTGTTACCATGACCTGGGGAAGGGAGTTCCACATTTTTGCTGCTCTGACGGCTACATAACCTCTGTAATTTTAGATTAAACCTTTTAAATTGTGTCGACATGTCCATTTTTTAGGGAACTAAGATTCTTCAAGTTACAACCATCCTTACAGTTGCCATTGAATAATTTGAAGATGGCGATTATGCCTCCTAATGTAAATGAGTTTAGATTACTTAGTCGGTCCTCCAGCCTCCATATAAACTTTGTTGCCCTTCACTGAACCCTTTCCACCTCTAGGACATCCCTTCTATTGACTGAGGACCGAAACTGAACTGCATACTCAAGATGAAGCTGGGCCAATATTTTGTACAGGGGTAAGGGTATCGATCTGTCCCTCGAATAAATACCCATTTTAATGGATGACAGTATTCTGCTTGCTTTGGTAGCCGGCAGCCTGGCATTGTATGCCATTGCCAAGTCTGTGGGCCACTAGGAGCGCCAAATCTTTTCCTATGAGCGATTCTTCCAGTGCAACTCCGTCTAATGAATATCTGGGCCTGCAAATTTTTAGCAACCAATTGCATAACTTTGAATTTTTCAACACTAAACCTCATCTGCCACATCCCCAGCACAGAAGGAAAACATTTGGTGGGAGCAGGAAGTGGTTTATCCTATAATATGTTCCCTCACTAGCCCTCCTAGGCCAGAACCTACAGCTGGTAACAGATGCTCTGTCATCCCTGATGCATCTGACTATAGAACACTGTGGTGCTTGTAAGTTACAAGAGTTTCCTAAGAATTCTGAGCCTGGAGAATAAATATTGGGAGCAAATGAAAGTGTCTGTGTTATTCTTCAGAAGACTTAACAGTTATTTTTCAGATTCTCATTCAATTACATTAACAAGTCATACAATGCAGATCAAATCTGGGACTTTACTGGCATTATGGAAATGTCTTATTTATGCATCGTCACAGAACAGCAACACATTTTGGTCTATTAAAACAACCCTTAAAATGCACCTGGCAACGGCTGATAATATCTGAAAACACTATGTGGTTGTTCTTTAAAGTGGACCTAGGCTTTGCCCATTGAGGACAAAGCAACAGGTTCACTTAAATGCGCCCCTCCCCAGTTGAACATATCATTTCCTTCATATCTGCACTGCTCTATTCAGTAGGTAGGAGCAAGGAAAGAAACCGTGTGTAAGCTCCAAGTCCCTTCTTCAGAACTTACAAAGGACAGTATATCTATAAAAAATAAGTCAAGGCAACTGGACTTGCTGTATTTTTCTTGAAGACGTTTCACTGGTCATCCAACCAGCTTTCTCAATTCAGATACATTTCTGAATTGAGAAAGCTGGTTGGATGACCAGTGAAACGTCTTCAAGAAAAATACAGCAATCCCAGTTGCCTTGACTTATTTTTTACAGATATACCATGATCTGGATGAATGAGAACTTTCACAGACTTACAAAGGACAGGACTCTTCCCCAACCAACCACATGACAGCGCTCGACCATCACCAGTGATGTCATATGTACATAGTCTATATCTGGAAGTACCAGAACCTGAACGGAAAGGCGGCGCAAAACAAAAGTCAGTATGTACTTCTAGGGAGAGGAGGCATTAAAGGAAACCTGTTGCTCTGAGCTGCTTTGGGAAAGCACAGGCATGCTCTGATGATGCAGAAATACAAGGGACAGTGTAGAACAGTGAAGCTCCAGGACACTTTCTGTATTGCAATATGGTTGTATACATCATGGCTGCTGTACCTGCATAACGCTGTCACTTTGAATCACAGTGGTATAGGATGCCTACACGCTTTTATATGTACACATCACAAAAAATAAAGCCGGCCATACACAGTTCAAATATTAGCCAATTTCTGATCTAGCTGAAATTCAATCCATAGGTCACCCAGCTCAACAAACTTCAGTAATTGAAGGAGCTGGGTAGCAAAGTCACCCAGTCAGCTGAACAGCAACTGCATGCAATCAGCTGCAGTCACTGTTCTTGTATTGTGAATACAGCCGGCAATGGAGATTCTACCATCCGTGCTATTATCACCAAATAATTGCACAACTGTAACCTACCCAATCAACCCACCCCACCCCCCTCCCCTTTGCAATAGAAAAAGTTGACTTTTATTTTTCTATTTTTTCATTTGTACTCCAGCCCACCCCTTGCCTAAGTCAGAATAATGTGTACCCCTCCCAAGGTGAATCCTTGGAGATGCCGATCACATCTGGCAAGAAGCATCGGCTTCCATACACAGAGCGACAGTAAGAAGCAGGATCTGGTACACATTATCAGAGGGGTGGCAGTCTGAGTAAGGAAGTGACAGCTGGTTCCTGGTGATGCCAGAAGGGGAAATGGCAGTGTGGGACCTGGTGTGCAGTGTACAGAGCAGGCAAGTATGTTATATGATAAGATAACATAGTGAAAAAATCAAGGGGGGAGGGGGAGAGAGTGTGACCTTCATCTTTACCACTTCCTGATTGATCACCCACAAACAGGACTACATATAGGACTAATGGCACACAGTAATTACAGTGGCAGCTTCAGTGAGAACAACAATGATAATAAAGGTTCCGGTATCTCTGAATGTTTAGTCCAGTATTGGCCAATAATTACTACTTGGCTATCAGGATTCCTTTTTGCACAGATCTACTCCTCTCGTGTGCAATGACCTTGCAGTGTTTGCAGAGAGGGAACAGTCTGTGCCATCATGCAGAACATCGCTATCTCACTGAAACAGTCCCAGGTTTGTGCTTGGCTCTGCCATATTGCCGTGTAGCTTGAATGGCCAAACAACAGCCTCAGCACAGGGGACACATAAGGGCCAGTCTGAGTTTTACGGGGGTGTGACCGTACTATGGCGGCAACACATACTTATTCCAGGATTTCATTGGTGTCCTTTTAATATTTGTGACTGAAGTTCCTCTTTAAACTGAGCTTGTGAGGAAAGGGATATGGGAGCTGCCATTGATGAACTATGTTTTAAGATGTCCGGGGCTATCACCCTGTTTCCGAACTGGTAAGTTGGGAGTGAGTGCAGAATAGGAGCTCAGCCTTCACTGCGTACACTCTTGGCTCCAGGTCACCAACTCCCTGGATTATTTAACTTCCAACTACCACAGCTGCAGATGGCTCAGTGATGGTGATAAACAAGCTAATATACAGAGAACTCTTCTTATTAAAAGTTTATACTGTTCCTGTATACAGTGACATGTCAGCAATGTATTCACACGGACCTTTATGAGATCAAACAGCAGAAAATATCAACATAGACGGGTAGACTCACCGGCACCCAAATGTTGTCTGAAGCAAAGTAGTGATTCCTACACAGAAGAAAATGGTCCCAATGAGTTGACTAGTCGCCCACTGGTCAAAGCCAACGCACATCGCTTCTACGAGCAGGAACGGCACCGCCACCGTCCCACTGAAGCATGTCAGGTAGTGCTGCAAAAAATGACAATTCCCCATTGAAATTACAATAGTTTAGAGTTCAATTTTGTGCTTAACAAAACATTTTATAAAACTAAAAAATAAAAAGTCATCGGGGTCCATGTGTGAAAATGTGTAAGATTGTAATAGAATGCTGAAGTTACATTTCAAACATAATGATTTATATGACGTATAATTAAAACCCAAATCTAGAACCTAATCTAACAACCTTTTTTTTATATAGTTTTGTACACAGTGGCGAGAAACTTTCAAACGTTTATTACAGTCAATAGGTTTTGGCTGGAGTTGGGATTGAAGATACACACGCGGTCTATGGAAAAGTAATATAGCTCTAGAAGAGTTCACCATTCAGAAGACCGTCTATAGGCAATGTGCATGTCAATTTTCCATAACATTACGTTTCTGATTGAACTGTAGCCAGTAGCAGATCAGTTTGGCACTTTAATTTCCCAATAGCCTAAACCGTACATTGAACATCCCAGAAAAATGCAAGGTCTGCTTATACTGTCTAGGCCGCCTCCAGGCTTGTTAGGTAAAATGTGCCTGTAAAGAGAAAAATGCAAGGTGTATACTTACCTAACCCCCTTCTTTTATCCATGGCACTAAGGTGAGGATGACATCTCCTTCTGACACAATCCTGGGGAATACTGAGCAGCCAAAATCATGTAAGAAGTCGTTCTTGCAATGGTATGGAGCGTCTTCTCACAAGATTTTGTCTGCTCTGCTTTCCCCGGAAAACTTCCTGCAAGCGACATCACGGGCAGTAGTGCGGAAGACGCGGGTAAGTTAAAGTGACACTAAACTCAGGAGTTAAGTGCATTCAAGTACCCTAACTATTAACAAAAATGTATCTTATTTGTGTATCACTCATCTGTAGATCCTCAAATCATCTCTGAATTGGTGCTGACACTGTCCTTCCTTCTGGAGGGTGGCTACTTTTATTCCCCACGGTCCTTGTGTGTGTTGTAAAGTAGTCACCGCTCCAAGCTCGCTCCTGTGATGGGACTGCAATCTCCCGTTTAGTTTACGGATTTGTATTCAGATTGTAGTCCATTATGGGAGTGAGCTTGGAAATATCACCTTTTATCTGTAATTAGTGATGTGCGGGCGCTTGAAGTGAACCCAGTTCTTCGGCATTTGCCCCAGCCTGCACACACGTCAAGGACATACTTCCCTCCCACGGCCCAATCATTTGCTGCAGAGGCATTCCCCACACTGCCACAAGTGACATTCCGGGGTAAAACAGTGATTACAACGTATAGAAGGAGAGCAGAAAAGAACAGCACAGCGAAGCACTAACGCCACCTCCTATGAATGAAAGGGCATCCAACCCCCCGTGTTATCAGCATTCTAACACAAAGCGGTAAAACTCAAATAGAACATCATTCTTCACATAATTCTTATCCCAACTCAACCCAGGAAAAAAACCACAAACAAAATATAAAGAGAACCGGATCCAATAGCATCAAGAGATTTCCCTTAAAAGAGAACTATGGGGTAAGTGTCTTTCCCCATAGTTCTCTTAAGGGTCACGGGACATATACTAGCGTCCCCCTGTGACCCAAAGCTCAGTATATCACGGGCTACAGCTCGCGGTATACTGAGACCGCCGCAGCCGGGACGGATCCCGACAATGCTGTCGAGATCCGCCCAGCTGCGTGATTGACAGCTGGTTCTGCCTATATACAGGCAGAGCCAGCTGTGCCGTCCCCCTCCCCGTTTGTTCCTTAAGTCAGTGCTGGAGGATCGGGAGGGGGGGAATCCCTGCGGGGAGCCGTGACTGACAGTCACGGCTCACTGCAGGGACATGATCGGGAAGTCAGCTAGCGACGGTATGTGTTCGCTCACTTCCCGATCTATTGAGCCAACGTGTGACAGTTAATTTATCACACTTCGGATCGAACTATGAGGATGAGTAATTCTCACTCACCTCATAGTTCTCCTTTAAATACATACAGAATCCTGCGTGGGGAAGAACCCCGGATTCTGGTAGGACGGGGAGCAGTTTGAGGGTCTGGGGCTTGTATATGTGACCATGAATCATGTAACTCCCTGAATTTGGTGGGAAAAATCTTTTAATTATTCTTTAAGGTAAAAGGATGTTGTTGACATCTTGTGGTGCATCTTTAACGGTAAACAAGTTTTCTTAGTATTGCATTAGGCAGGGATAACTGAGAACCCCCATCAAGACTTGTTTTTTCTGGCCGTCTGTATTCCACTGTGGAGATTTCCCTCAACTTCCTGTCCAGTAGCCACAACAGGAAGTGAGGGAAATCCCTGGTGGTAAGCAGAGTCACTACAACTTGTTTCCCCATTGGAAGATTTCCCAGCTATTCCTGTTCCTGTGACAACTCAAACCTTTGGGATTCTCCTTTACTTACAGTGATAATGGTCACCAGGACAAATAGAGAAGGTGAATCTCCCTAGCGGGGACACAGGCTATAATAAGAACCCAACAGGGGTTCTAATCCCTTCCACTCTATCCTATTGTCGGCTTCAGTTGCACTAATGGTAACCAGGAGAGCATAACTGCTAAAAGTTAGGTGCTCCAGCAGCCCAGGGAATGCGCCCACAACACTTAGGATTGAGGCTTCTTCTAGTTGTTACAAATATATTCCAAATACAAGAACAACTGATGCCTGTGCTAGTGAAACAAAGCTGCAGATAAAAGATAATGACACGCTGAGTAAACAGAATGCGGCAAGGTTTGAGGCACACAAATAGCTGTAAGACTTCATCTGACAATGCTGCCTGGGAAGGAATACACAGGGATACATACAGACTAAACCCGGCTACAATCTAAGCTGACTTCTCCTAAGGGTGTATGAGCACAGCGTCAGGCGTACAGCTTTATCTCAATCCTCTTTCATCTTAAGAGACAGCCTTGTCACTAATGATTCCATTCATAGCTCGGCTTAAAATGGTTTCGTTCAGAGAGTTGGCACTGTCAGTTTCTGAAGAACGCAGAATAAATCCCATCTCTTCCCAAAATCCTCCCGAGTCCACTGCATATATCCTCACAGCACTCGAGGAAAGTGTCACTTCAGACGTGGCGGGTTAGTATATTAGCTTGTTGTAATTAGGCTGATAATTCATTTCTCAGGAACACCTTTTATATTCACCATTAAGAGTGACGGTCACAGACATCAAATCACATTTAAAGTGACACTAAACTCAGGAGTTAGATCTTGCATTCAAGTATCCCAACTATTAACAATAATGTAGCTATAAAAAATAAGTCAAGGCAAGTTGGACTTGGTGTATTTTTCTTGAAGACGTTTCACTGGTCATCCAACCAGCTTTCTCAATACAGAATTCTGAATTAGCTGGTTGAAGGGAAACGTCTTCAAGAAAAATACACCAAGTACAGCTTGCCTTGACTTCATTTTTACAGATATACCATGACCTGGATGAATGAGACCCTTCATAGACAATAATGTAGCCAATTTGTTTACCAACCAATACCAAAAGGGAGAAAGGCAAATTGCCTGGTCTAAGTGCTGGAACTGCATTAGGCAACCCTGCCAAATGGCAAGTTATAAAGTCCAAATACTCATGTTCACTGTTTTACCTGACACATCATTTTGTAATCCTGTGTTTTTTCTAATATCAGAGCCAACATACCTGTAAGCCAAGAAAAATGCAGAGATACCAAGGCGGTACATCCTCCACTGTATATATCATGTCCATCCGATGCCGGTCTATACTGCTGGTGCTGTCCAGTGTCTCTGCCAGTGAGCTCTAGGTGAAATAAGTAGACAGCGAATTAATAAATCATTTATGGATTTATAGTGCAAAAGATATTTTAGTTGATCATTTTCTTTATTGTTTCTCCACAAAAAATATACTGACAAGGGAAGAACATTTTCTTTTACAACAACTTGAGAAACATACCGTCCTCATGAAATTGCAGTCACAAAGTATTCAATACGATGAAAAAAGGGGGAAATATAATTAGAGTCAGTGGTATTCAAGCATACGAGGAATCATGAAAATGGTAATAGGAGAATAACTTGTCAGAACGGACGCCACCATGCAGTACCCAATTCTGACCTGTAGGTGTCACCTGCAACAACACAGCAAACCCAGGTATCAAAGTCATCTTTGCAAATCTGCATTATAGCCATTAAAACATCATTTTACCACATGGTTCAAATCCTTAAAGAACATAATAAAACAAAAGCACCCAAATACAGACAGACAGACATTCATGCCAAATGTCCAAACTGATCAGTCAGAACCACCCTAGATTAAGAAAAGTGATGCGTTTATGTGATTTTCATGGCTTTTGAATTCCCAGCCCAGTAATCGCATTCCAAAACACACATGGCCGCCGCACATTCTCAAAAACAAATTATTATGTGTCTGAATACATTTTTCAAATATATTCGGGCAAATAGTAATTTATTAATTTTACATGTAGTCTGGGTTTTGTGTACTGTTTTTACTTTTCTAGATATAACTTACTTGAAAAAAGCATGACAACCTGACACTTTATAGACTCTTTTTTAGTTTGACATTTATGGTTTCCCTTCTGTTGTTTTATTTGATAAGAATAATCATATTGTGCCTACAAGTTTAATACCTTTGAATAAAAGTTTTATTTTTATCAAACTTTTTTAGTTCAATAAGTTTTTATTGGCATATAAATGTAGAAAAGCAAAATGTGTACATCCGTTACAGGTGGCAGTACATGTGATACAGACATTGAGTAGTAACTGCACATGGCTTTCATTACAGTAGCAAATCATATTGTCTATTACCATTTCAGCTTGTACATAACATTAGTGGTCAATTGCTGATAGTCATCACCTGTAGGATGATAGTGTCAGTCTGTCGAGCAGACTGGCTGCAACCAAGGTTTTGGAAAGGTTTTAGTAGGAAAGTATAGAAAGTATGGAAAGGGAGGCGTAAGGTAATAGGGGGTAGGGCTGTTACACAGTCCTAAAGAAGAAGGGGGAAGCCATGAGGAAGCGAGTAGGGGGAAAGGAGGTAGGATGGGAGGGTAGGGGATTAGGTGGAAGGGAGTGGAGGACAGTGACGCCCAGGAGTATCACTTGTTGTGGAGCATGCTCTATCGGAGAGTGGATGTTCGGGTCATGTGTCTAGCAGAGTTCTATCAAAGTTTGGTGGGGAGAAGTTGTCAACCCATGGTTCCCATACCCTATTAAATTTGGGCAAGTTGTCGAGAAGTTTTGCGGTTAGCTTCTCATTGATCATAGTCCAGTGGATCCTGTTTTTTAACTGCTGCGATACTCAGGGTATTTGAGAGCCATGCGTGGGCTATGACCTGTTTTGCCGCCGTAAGGACATGGATGAGGAGTCGAAATTCATTTTTAGATATGTCAGGAGGCCTAACATTCAGCAATGCCTCCCCCGGGGTCAGGTGTATGCTTCTTTTGGTGAGGGTATTAAGTATCTTGTTCACCTGTGACCAGAGCCTTTGTGCGATCGGGCAGTTCCACCATATATTGAGATAGTCCCCTCTTACTGGGCAACCTCGGAAGCAATTTGGTGAGCTGCCTGGTGTAACATGGGCCAGATGGCTGGGCACCATGTACCACCTGTATAGAACTTTATAATTGGTCTCTACTGCTGACGCATTGCGGGAGCAGGAGGACATGGTGGCCCATATCTGTTCCCATGGGATCTCGTCTACCGCCATCCCCAGGTCATTAGCCCAGCTATGCATGTACTTGTGGTTCGTGGGGGCACCTTTGGAAATAAGGCCTGAGTACAGGAGGGAGATCAGGCCCGGCGAGTGTGGGTCATCCCTACAGCTTCTTTCAAAGTCTGTCGATAGAGGACAGCCCGCCGGGAAGCGAATTGTGGTGGTAATAAAGTGCTTTATTTGTAAGTACCTGAATGTTTCGCTTGCTGGTAGTTGGTAGGCCGCCTGTAGGTGGGGGAATGTTTTAAAACCTGTAGGGTTGATAAGCTTGTGGATCTGTGTGATACCCGCTCTCTCCCACTGTCGATAGGACGAGGCCCTGGAGGAAAGGAGGGGTTATGTAGAAAAGATAGAAGGGGCATATGGGGAGACATCATGCCTCCAGAGTATTTGACCCCCATCCCATACCTTAAGGGAATGGAGAGTGATGGGGTTAGTCAACGACCGCCTGTCCGCAGGGGTTAACCATAGAAGGTTGTGTATCTGAAGGGGGCTGCTATCCACCGCCTCCAGTGCTACCCACAGCGGTGTGTCAGCAAGCGCATGTAATTTAGTGAGTTGTGATACTTGGGCAGCCTGATAGTATTTGGCCAAATTGGGGACTCCCAATCCACCCATCTTACGGGGTTGGTACAGAATCGTCTTGGAGACCCGGGGTCTACGACCCTGCCAGATGAATCTAAGGAGTTGTCCCTGAAAAACATTCAGATAGTGTGGGGGCACCGCTACTGGGAGCACACGGAAGAGGTAGAGTAGTTTGGGGAGGTATGACATTTTGGCGGCCGCCACCCGGCCTAGCCAGGAGAGAGAGTAGGTAGACCAGATGGATAGCAGAGTTTGAAGTTTACGACGAAGAGGTGGGTAGTTCGCTTCTAACAAAGTATGATAATCATTGGTGAGGTAAACACCAATTTATCAAACTTTTTAATATATTTTTGTTTGCGGCTTATCAAAATAGGAGTCTTTAAATGCTGCGGATATTGGGGGGAAATGGGTGTGGTTACTGGGGGTGTGGCCACTGAGGGGTGTGGTCACTGAGGGGCGCTGTAAAGCTTTCTCGCACAGGGCCCTTAAAGGCCTAAACCCAGCCCTGAATAAGATACATTGTTGTTAATAGTTAATGTACTTCAGTGTGTTTTTAGGATTTAACTCCAGAGTTTACTGTCACTTTCCCTCCTTTACCTTTGTGTAGCTTCTACAACAAGCACAATGCTAGGATTTATACTGGTCATGGCAACATGATGAATATTTTTATAGTATTACACGTCCCTTCTACTGCTAGTTGATGTCACAGGCCAGTGTGTGGGTGAAATGACCTTGCCCTCTGCTTCACAGGGAGGCGCTGCTAAATCTTACATGATGCACAAGTATGACCGACTAAAAACACCATTACAACAAACAAATAATATGATCAAAAATAAACGCCCACCAAAATAACCGGTACTTAAGCAAAATGCAATTGAATTGCCTTGCCAAGTCTGACTGCTGATGCCCTCGACACTGGCACTTTCCGAATAGCCTTGTCTGACAAGATAAAGACATTCTGTTCTGATAACACAAATTGCAGACTTTGTTTTTGGACACTGTACATCTCCAAATCAATTTATGTCAAGATCATTGGAGACGGTTAGGTCCTGCTTTTGGTTTCTGTTCACCAATCTTAACTCTGCATTTTAAGGGCTTGTTCACACCAAATGCAGACCAGATCTGCATGAGTTTCTGCACACAGAGCGCAGTGGGTTGTGCCGTGTTTTTGTTTTGGGACGTTTGTTTTTTTTCTGTTTAGAATGGGCGTTTAGTGCGTTCGCATGAATTTTGATGCGTTTTCACGCGTTCCAGAGCAGGTAAAATAGGGCTTGCTGCAGTTTTTTTTACATGCTCTGGAACTGAAAGCTGCGGTGTGAATTAGAGCCCAAAATACCATTGGAATACATTGGACGCAGTTTTGATCCGGTCTGCAACGGCTCTGCTCTTGGAACGCGCTTGGTGTGAGTAACTTACACTATTTTGCCAAAAGTATTGGGACGCCTGCCTTTACACGCACATGAACTTTAATGGCATCCCACTCTTAGTCCGTAGGGTTCAATATTGAGTTGGCACCGCCCTTTGCCGCTATAACAGCTTTAACTCTTCTGGTAAGGTGTCCACAAGGTTTAGGAGTGTGTCTATGGGAATGTTTGACATTTGTGAGGTCAGGTACTGATGTTGGACGAGAAGGCCGGGCTCGCAGTCTCCACTCTAATTCATCCCAAAGGTGTTCTATCGGGTTGAGGTCAGGACTCTGTGCAGGCCAGTCAAGTTCCTCCCCCCCAAAATCGCTCATCCTTGTCTTTCTGGACCTTGCTTTGTGCACTGGTGTGCAGTCATGGTGGAACAGGAAGGGGCCATCCCCACACTGTTCCCACAAAGTTGGAAGCATGAAATTGTCCATAATGTCTTGGTATGCTGATGCCTTAAGAGTCCCACACCATAATCCCCCCTCCACCAAACTTTACACTTGGCACAATGCAGTCAGGCAAGTACTGTTCTCCTGGCAACCACCAAACCCAGACACGTCCATCGGATTGCCAGACAGAGAAGCGTGATTGGTCACTCCAGAGAACACGTCTCCACTTCTCTAGAGTCCAGTGGCGGCGTGCTTTACACCACTGCATCCAACGCTTTGCATTGCACTTGGTGATGTA